CGGCCGCCCACCTCCTGCCCCCACCCGCCGGCGGGCGAGACGGGGGAGGACGTGCCCTTCTGGCGGATGCCACCTTTAATCCCCAATAATGCTCCGGATGGTCCAGCGGGGACAAGTCTTGTCCGTGACGTGGCGAGGTCTGAGCTGGTCCCCGGGAGGGAGGCGGAGAGGGGGGACAGGGACCCGCACACCGCTGGCACCGGGACAGAGATTTACAGCAGGCGAAAGGGCTCTTTTTAGTATTAATATAAAATAATGGCTTTGGAAAGAGGAGGGGAGGGGAAAGCCCAAGGGTTGGAGCATCCCCCGCTGCCCACCTACCTCTCGCCTGTGGCCGTGGGGACCGCGGGCGCCTTTCCAGGAGGGGACGGCCACAGTGCCACCACCACGTGGGACACCTCCGTCCCCGCCCCGGGGTGACTGGGACCAGTTGCAGCGGCGGGTGCAGCTGGCACAGCCCAGCAAAGGCCATCAGGGTGGGGGGCGAGGGAGAGGAGGGACGTGGCCCTTCCTCACGCCTGGGTGCAGCTGGACGCTGGTTCCGACCCCAGCGCCACTGGGCTTGTCACCTCCGGGAATCAGTTAATTAATTCATTATCAGTGGGTGGACAGGACCAGGCAGGTTGGCATGACTCAATAAAATAATTGGGATTTTTGTTTTCTTTCCCTAGTTTTTCTTTCTTTCCATTCCCGAGCCCGATACCGCTCACGGCCTCGGGTGCCCCAGAGTGATTTCGTCCCTGTTGGTCTCACCCAGGGCCGGATCCCACCTCTCCCTTCACCCAGGTTATCTTCCCACCCTCCTCTTCCTCCTCCGTCCCCTCCTCGCCCTCCCAGGCGGTGGAGGAAGGCAGAGGAGGGGGTGGCACATTTCTACCCGGAGGCTTCAGCCTGAATTCCTGAATTCCTCCTCGGTGACGTTCCTTTGCTCTTGAGGGACCCGCTCACCTCGATTTCCACCCCCCCAGCATCCTTTTCTGTCCTCTGAGCTATTTCTCCTCTCATGACGTTAATGAGCACATTAAGCCTCCTCGTCCCGGAGGAGAGCCCGGCTTGGAGCATCTTACAGACATCTCCAGCCTTCTGTGATGGAAAGGGGACAGGAGATTATCCAGACCTTTGATCAGGTCCTTCAGGGCGGCTTTATCATTTTATACACCATTTCCATTCTAAAAACCACAGTCCTTAAATTTACCCTCATCCCAGTGAGGGCATCTATTAACAAAAAATAATTCAGTTGATATTCCTGGCATCCCAATTCAGCTTGTGTCCATCTCCCCTCCAAACCCAGCTTCGGAAGGGCTTTGACCACAGAGTGACGGGGTCTGTAGGAGAAATCTGACCTCTTTTAGTGTTTTTTCCCCCAAAATCTACTTCGAACCAAGCAGGCTCACTTCCTGCACCCGGGCAAAGAGCAGCTGTGCCAGAGGGAAATGCGGAGCATGGAAAGCATCCAGAGGAGCAGATCTGGCTTGTGCTGGGGCTGAGGAGCTTCGGCAAAACGCCGCTGAAAATGGGGATATCCCTGGAGTGAAAGCTGTGCTGTGGTCCTGGGGAGACGGCTTCGGGGGGGATGCTCGGGATAACATCGGTGCCTCCCAGAAACGGGACAGTTACACAACTCCCTCATCTCTGGGGAGTTCGGCTGCACCCCGGACACCCCCGGGAAACTTCTGCCTCTGAATTCCGCCAAGGTGACTTCAAACACCCTCTTGGCTGGAAGGATTTCAATCCTGCCTCCCTCCAGGCGCTCCTCCGGCACTCCTTTCCCCCTAATCCCCCGCTCCTGGAATCACCGGCTCTGCTGGGATTTATCCCACAGATAAATTTGGCCCCTGAGGGTGTCCTGCATCCGGGATGGAGCAGAATCCAGCAAGCCCTGGTACGGGATCACTGCCCAGCAGCTCTGCACGCACAGCTCTGACACCAGAGGGGAGATCAAACCCCCCCGAGCCTGTCCCAAAACAGGGAGGGATTAGCTGGCAGAGGAGGAATTTTTGGCAGCAGAATTATTGTTTGGACAAGGAGCTCGATTTTCCCTGCGGGAAATAGCGAGGGAGACTGAGCAGCTCATCCCATCCCATCCCATCCCATCCCATCCCATCCCATCCCATCCCTTCCATGCCATGGGATGAGCCGGAGCAGGGTGGGAACGAGGAGGAGGCTGGAGGGGTCCTGCAGCTCCCGTCCTGCAGCGGAACGAGCCAGGGACACTTTCATTTGCTTTCCCTGAATTCCCAAACAAAACGATGCCCCACAGAGACCGCTGTGAAATCCGCACCGGCTTCGGGCCACGGAGCAGCTCAGGGCACTAATGAGCCTCTGCTAATTGTCCTCTCTCCGCAGCACTAATTACCTGGGGTTCGCTAATTCCAGCCCCGCGGCTCTGGGATGGAGCTCAGGTGGCTCCGCGGCGTCTCCACCAAGGGAATTTTTCTTACTTCTCATCGCAGCTAATTGAAGTGCCCCTCAATTAGCAACAGTCCCCCAGCATCAGGAGGGGCCGGATTTTGGGGGGTGCAATATGGAAAACCGCAACCCAGACCCTTCAAAGCCCTCGAGAAGGGCTGGGGTTATTAATATTCGAGCTCTGATTCCGGCACGGAGTGTCCTTGGAGGCTTAGCGAGGTGCCCTGGGCATCTGGCACTGATGGAGCGGGGCAGGAATCATCTCTGGAAGGAAAACAAGGAGCTGCTGGGTTTGCTGCAGGGGGACGCCCTGCGAAAATTTGTGGCTCATCCTCCTCCTCAGGAGAGCTGTTTGCAAATGGAACTCTTTAAATTCCGAGCCAATGTGTGCGGCTGTGAGGGAATTAGCAGGAGGGGAGGCACTGGTAGTTTATGAATGATGAAAATATGCGAAAGAATAATTCAGATCTTCCAGGGGATGATGGGGTCTGGCAAAAGCTGCCTCTGCTTTCCAGTCCTGCCTGTGGGAAGAGTGAAGAAATGGAAAAGGGGCCAAAATATACTGAAATAATGGTGTGGCTCAGAGCAATCCCAGGGTTTCTCCAGCCCCAGGAGAGCCCAGGGCTTAGGAGCAGTCAGACCTGAAACCTCTTTGCTTTGAAAAGCAGAGGTTAAAGTTTGTCTGTGGCAAAGTCGGGGTGGGGAGTGGGGTGGGGCAGGATGAACCTCAACATTTAAACACACGAACTGTCTTTAAACTGAAAGAGAGGAGGTTTAGATGAGGTATTTGGGGAAAATCATTCCCTGTGAGGGTGGGGAGGCCCTGGCACAGGTGCCCAGAGCAGCTGGGGCTGCCCCTGGATCCCTGCAAGTGCCCAAGACCAGGCTGGATGGGGCTTGGAGCAGCCTGGGATGGTGGAAGGTGTCCCAGGGGTGGGACAGGATCCTCTCCAACCCAAACCATCCTGGTATTCCATGAAATCACACCTGAGCCTGAGCAAGCGGCTGACAGCTCCTGTGGGCTACCTCCAGCTCTGTGCCTCAGTTTCCCCAGGGCTGTGGATGTGCCACAAAGCCGAGCAGGAGCTCTCCAGGAAAAGATGCACATGAGGAAGATCCCCAGCTGGATTGCCAGTGCTGGGATGGCCAGTCCATCACTGCAGGCCCCATGGCAGGCAGAGACGTGTCCAGCCAGACCCCTACAGCCCTCCCCGCTTTTCATACCTCCTTCTGATTTTTCCACCCTTATTTTTTTACGTTAAAAAAAAAAAAATCTGATTATCAGAGAGCTCGGTACATACAGTACACGCCATGAGACAGATGAACCCTTTCTTATAGCCAGCCATGGAGCCCAAAATTAATCAGCTATGGATTAACCGGGTCAGGATGTAATTTAATAACCAGCGAGGGCGAGTTCCTGCTCGGAGGGAGCCGGCGAGGTCCCGCTCCGGGTGTGCCGTGGAAGCCGCCAGAGCCCAGCTCAGGGAGCAGGAAAAGCCAGATGGGATGGAATCAGCCCCGCGGTGGTGCCGGCTGCTCAACCAAGGGACAGGGACAGGGACTGCCTGGGGCCGGGCCAGGCTTGGCTGCAGCTGAGCCCTCCTCATCTTCCCTGCACTCCGAGCCGGGCTTTAGCCTGATTCAGGAAAAGATTTCAATGGATTTTTGTCTGCGAAGTGCTGCGGTGGCTCTTTGGGGATGCTGAGCGGGCTCTTTGGGGGCTGGTCCCGGGGGGAATCACGGAGCAGTTGCTGCTGCCAAGTGTTGGACACACTCTGGGAAGCGGCTGATGAGCGGACACACGGCCACAAGGCGCTTGGAAAGTGCTTTGATCAGCCTGAAGCAGCAGAGGAGTAACAAAGGGGGTGCGTGGAGTGACCTCTTCCCTCTGGAGCATCCCGGCTCCGTGCGGGCGCCTGCCTGGGGCCGGGGCAGGCAGCCACCCCCGCGCTGCCCCCTTCCTGCTTACTGCCCTGTAACACGAGAAACAATCCGATCCCAAATCGATGGGAAACTTTCCCAGTCTGTCCCGAAGCGCTGGGATAGAGGCAGAGCCGCCCCCTCCACCTGCTCCCCCNCCACCTGCTCCCCCACCCCCAGCCCAGCATCCAGAGCTCGCTGCTGTAACCTCAGTCTGCTCCTAGGGATGAACAAATGACTTTGTCCCCCCTCAAAATCTGCACTGGCAGCAAACCCTGGAGGAGGTCGGCGGCCGGAGCCAAAAACGGAGAGAAGGTTTAAGTGGAAAGCAATAGGAAGCCGCTAACCGGGTCAGACAGACCCTGCATTGATCTCGATTTCTGCAACAGCAGCACCGAACGCAGCCGGGGGCAGCTTTGGGGTCCGGGTGTCGCTCCAGGCTTGTGGCTTCATGTGCTGAGCCAGAGGCGCTGCAGAGGCCAGGGCAGCCCCCAGCCCAGCACCCCACGGAACCCCCAGGGGAGGACACGGGGGTTTGCACCCACAATAAGTAATAAAGGCTTAAAGTGGTTGCGATGACGCCACTGAGACCCTCTGACTCCTGCTAAATCCGGGGTTCCTCGCAGCACCCACCCACCCGCTGCTCAGGAATGCTTCACCCTCTCTGCTTCCCCAAGGACAAACTAAACTTCTCCCCTGGTCACCGCCACCCAAAAAACACCCACCAAACCCCCCCAAAACAGCACCGGACTGCCCCAAACCCACCCACCAAACTCTCCTCTGTCCCCAAACTTCCCCCGGCCACGACGGCGGCTGAGCCCAGGAGGGGAGCAACAAACCCGGCTTTGGCATGGTCCTCATCCTCCTCCGGCGTGCGGGGTGCCCGGTGCCCGTGCTCCCATCGCCGCCTCCCGGGGCTGCCCGGCGGAGCTGCCCCTCCGCCAGTGCCGGCCAGCGCTGGGATGCTCCAGCCTCTCCTGCGGAAAGGCGATGCCGGTACCCACGTGAGCCCAGTGGGACTCCTTGCCCTCATTCTCCTTGTGCCTGAAATGGGTTTTCTGCTCCCTCGCTGGTCCTACCGGGCAGCAGCAGCGGCATCCAGGGCTCCAGCTCACCTCTTTGATGTCTACAGAAGTGTCTGAGGGCTTTGCTTTCTGAGTGAGGGTGAGGAAGGAGCGGTGTGGAGCGGAGGAAGAGGAGGTGATGCCCAGATGTGATCCTTTCTGCCCCCTCCAAGCGATGCAGCTCCCTGGGGTGCTCTGCCACAGGCAGCCGGGCCAGGTTCACAGGTTCTTTTGCATCCACGGGGAGAAAACTGGGAACACAGGAGCCTCCAGTGCTCCCAGGGCCAGAGCACCGAGCACCAGCCAGGGGGAGGCAGCCAGGGCCCCCCCGGCCCTTTGTCCAGGCGCTTCCTCAGCTGGGCCTGGTTTTTCTCCGGTACACAGGAAAATCCTCTGCTCCTGGGAGCCTGTGACTGCCATGGCAAGAGCTCCCAAACTGCGGCTCCGAGAGGTGGAACTGCCTCCCCGGGGCTTTTCCCGTCCTGTTTTCCTCTGGCCAGGGGGAGCTGTTGGTCCATGAAGCCCTGAGGGGTGGCACACCTCGATGGGCAGCTCTGGCTCCCGGCTGTGCCTGGCTCTGGGCACGGAGCAGCTCTCAGCAGGTGCTGGGCACAGCTCTGGATGTGGCCACAACCCCTCCGTTATTCCAGTGATCCATCGGGACTCTGAGCATCGCCCACTACCCCTGCTTGAGGGGGCCCAGCTGCTGTTCCAAGCCTCTGCTGGGTTTCCCAGCAGGATTTAATGAAACCACAACTATTTCCCTTTCCATGTGTTCCCCCCATCACTGAGCTCTGCCTTCCTTCCCTTCCCCAAAACTTCCCAAGCAAAGGCAAAAGCATCACCCTGGAAAGGGATTGGACACACAGGAGCGGGGGAGCACCAGCAAGGCATTTCCTGACTGACCTCCAAAAGTCATCTGCATCCTGAATCCTCCTGCCAGCATCTTGGGATGTGGAGCTTTTCCCTCAAGCTTTATTCCAGCCTGTGTAATTGGGGCAGGTTCCCATGCTGTGCTGCTGAACTGGGATAGGAAAATATTGAGATCAGCCTGCACTGAGCCCTTCCAGAGGCAGTGGGGTGTGCAAAGTTGGGGGTCTCCCAGAGGTGCTGCTCCAGAGAAAACCCAAGGAAATAAAAGGAATCCTGCCAAGATCAGGTCTGGAAAATCCACAGCTGTGGAAAAAAGATCTCAAAAAAGAGCAAAAGCTGCCATGGGCCCCTCTTCCCCTGGTAGCCCCAGGCTCCTCTCACGAAGCTGGAGCTGATTTTGCCTCGGAGCAATTTCCCAGTCTCCTTCCCATGACCTTTACAAACCCAGCCCAGGGATTCACAGCTGCCTCGGGATGGGCTGTTCTGGTCCCCACTCCTCACCCAGGCCAAAGCCACAGTTTTCCCAGCTGCATTCCAGGAGCTGAATTCCATCTTGGGATGCAGCAGGAAATCAGGAACAGGGCACAGACACAGAGCCTTGGCTATAAAAACCACAGTTTTAAGCCATTTTGGGGTTGGAACAGCTCGGCCTAGGAACCCCAATCCTATTTCTCTGGGAATCAGCAAGACAATCATTTTTTCAGCCATTAAAAATCCAGCTTTATTTGGTTGAGGCTTTGTTTGTCTCAAATTTCTACAATCCCTAGCGACTGTCTCCTGCTGAGGCCGTGAAACTCATCAAGCATCAAACATGGATCAGTTCTTACTGAGTAATTCCTGGTGGTGCCTGGCTGGACCTGCACCCAACCCTGAGGAGAGCCTCTGATCCCCCTGAGCTCTGCCACCCATCCCTCACCCCAGTGACTGGTTTTCCATGGACTTCTCCTTCGGTATCTGGAGGATGGAAGCACTGAGCCCCAGGACTGGCTCCTGCAGGACCAGGGAAGACATCCTAAACCAGACTCTCAGAAAATCATGTTATTCCTCACCACTGAGTACAAACTGTACCAAATCCATGGAACCAGCAGCCCTGATATTCCCATTAACCCTCCCCACACCCTGCTCTGTGTCACTGGCGTGAGCACTGTGCGCTGGGGATTCCCACATTCCCTCCTTGGGATCACTGAAAATGTCCCTCTTATTCCCCAGCCAGCCTAAAAAGAGCCATCCCATTAACTATTATCATTTTTGCAGCCAGAACCTGACATCACCATTCCTGCACTCCATCCTCTCCCAATTTAATTCATCCCGATGCAACGGATGCTCCCAACACTCTTTTGGAATTGAAGTGACTCCTTGGCAGCCACGGATTTCAGCCTGTCAGAAATCCTGATGAATCATTTCACCCCAGATCCTCACAATTTAATTGGAGTAGGCTGAAGGAAACCAATATTTCCTTGGAGCGTTTCGATGTCTTCACCGTTCCTTGCACACATTCTCATAAAGCAAATTGCAGCAGCCAAGGGTTTTCTAATGGAAGCCTTGCAAAACATTCAAACCCATTAAAAAGATCACAGCCAAAAGTAACCACTTTATTTAAGTCCTGGAAGAGAAAGAGAGGCTGCAAATGCTCAAAGCACAGAGTGTCTCTGTCTGGGGTCGGGCACAGACCCAAGAGCAGCCAAAACTCCTGTATCAGCACAAGCTGGTCTAAAACCACGAACCCAGCACCGATTTAGCTGGAGATAAAATGGAAACCTTTTCAACCAGGTGATTCTTCCACATCCTACTGACAATAAAGTAAAATAAGTGGCTTTATATAGATGGGAACTTTCCCACTGGGTGTTGGGCTGGGCTGCATTTCCATTGTATCCTCAATGGTGTCTACAAGCACAGAAAACGCAATAAACACAACAAGCACAATCACTCACCTGCAGCCCCGGTCAGGCAGCCCAGGTTACAGCCCTTCCTCGGGCAAGAGGAGCATCCCGAGGGTTCTGGCCATGGCGGGTCCCTGCACGTCTCTGGCACGCAGGTGAGGATTAGAGTTTGTCTCAGGAAAGACTCAGATTCGGAAATCCTACACCCCAGTGAAACCCTACCTTGCCTCGCTGCCCTTGGATTTAAAGGAAACACGGGAAGAAAGGTGGTGCTGTGAACAGGGCTGCGGTGCAGCTCCACACACGCCTTGTGCTGCCCCAACGCACCCCAAACCCTCCAGCAGCCACCCCACAGGGAGGGGTTGCACCTCCCAGAGCCCAACTCCCCGGCTGAATCCCCCAGTGACCCCTTCAGTACCTGGGAATGGATTTATCCCATTGTTGCTCCATGGGCAGGACACCCGAGGAGGGATCGAGGTTTTCCCCTGGCAGCAACACCTGTTTTAAGGAACAATATTTACATTTTAAGACCAAATGGCAGCCAAGTGTCCAGCAGCTCTTACCTGCCCAGGTTTGGGCTGCAGTCCCAGCCCTGGCTCCCACCAAGACCCCCTCAATGGGGGCTGCACAGCTTTGGGATCGGGGCCTGACCTCGAACCCTTCTCTGCAATGCTTTAGGGCTGGGAGGCCAAAACTTTTGGGGGCCGATTGACCTGAGACCCGTCTGTGTCTCAAGGAGGTCCTGGGAGCTTTCCAGGGGACTTCCAGGAGACACTGAGCTCCCATGCTGTGGGGAACAGGAAAAGGGGCTCCACATTCAGCTCTGAGCCCCACATTGTGGGGAACAGGAATTCCCTGGATCCAGCTCTGAGCCTCACACTATGGGGAACAGGAATTCCCTGGATTCTGCTCTGAGCCCCCACACTGTGGGGAACAGGAATTCCCTGGATCCAGATCTGAACCCCCACACTGTGGGGAACAAGAATTCCCTGGATCCAGCTCTGAGCCCCACATTATGGGGAACAGGAATTCCCTGGATCCAGATCTGAGCCCCCACACTATGGGGAACAGGAATTCCATGGATCCAGCTCTGAGCCCCCACACTGTGGGGAACAGGAATTCCATGGATTCAGCTCTGAGCCCCAGGCAGTGCTGTGGAAGAAGTGACAAAAACCCCAAGGGTGGAGAAGACTCTTCCCATTAGCCACTTCATTCCCTGAGCACCAAGAATGAGCTGTAGGAGATATTGGCTGCTCTGGTGGCTCCTTCCAAAGCTATGGGGTGGTGTCCTGGTCAGCTTTATCCCAAGAATATGTGGGATGTGTCAAAGCCATCTTCTTCTGGGGGAAGAGGGTGGGAGGAAGGTCCAGGCTGGAGGCTGCAGCGTGGCCATGAGTTTGCAGATCAGCATGGACGGGTCTCCCCCACCTCTCCTTGCCACACTGAGCCGACCAACATTTGGTGTTCAGCATCACATCCAATCCCATGGGAACCACGGACAGCAGGAAGTGGAGGAAAGGTCCATGGTCCACTGAATTTAACCCAACTCAGGAGGAAGCTCCAAAATCCAAGCTCATCCTTGGAGCAGCAGCCAGGGCTGTGCAAGGCCAGCACCCTCGGAGCTGGTTGTGCTGTGGGTATTTCCCAGAGGTTCCTGTTACACCATGGGAATCTCATTAATTACTCCTGCTGAATGGTGGTAACGAAGGCCTGGGACACATCAAGAATCATGTTTGCATGGCAAAGTGGCACAGGAACACCCCGGGAGGGTGATGCTCCACAGAAAGGCCTGAAGTTGTTACAAGGACGTCAGGAGACCTGATACAAAGGGCTGGCTTATTAATAGCTAATGGGGGAATAAATTATGCACCCACTCGGCTGGATTGGGTTTCTCCTTCCCCACTGCACCCTGACATCCCCCTCACCCCCCTTCTCTCTGCTTTCTGGACCACTTGGTTCTTTCTTCTCCCTGTTTTTGTAGCTGGCAGGATTTTTCATGTGTTTACCCATCGCCAAAAGCTTCACAGCCGAGTCCAGCCTGTCCCAGGGTGATGCCAGAGCAGGGCAGGGCAGGGCACCACCCGGAGCCCTCCCTGGGGAAGGTCAGACGCTTCCCCCATCACACCTGGGCTTCTCCCTCTCGCAGAGACCCCTTGATGCCCTGGATACCTGAAAGAGAAGCTCCAGGCAGCAAAACAAAAGCTTCCCACTGTGGCTTTCTGCAGGATGTGGCGTGCCCTGCCTGCCATCTGCCCGAGCTGCCCGCGGCCACGCTCCAGTGGGTGCCTGGCAGGCACAGAGGGACGGGAAAAGCCGGGAGAGGGCATGGAACGGGAGAAAAGAGGAGATTCTCCGTGTACTGGGACTTCTGCTTCCCAGTCCAGAGCAGGAGAAAGGAAAGCTGAGGTGAAGTTGG